GGGAGAGGGAGGGAATGACAGGGCCTGAGGGGGGTGTCCCGGGAGAGGGTGGGGGGAATGACAGGCCCGAGGGAGAAGTCTTGGGGACGGGGGTCCCGGGAGTGTGGAGGGGAATGTCCAGGCCCAAGGAGGGGAATGACAAGGCGTGAGGTGGGGGAGGTCCGGGATTGAGGAAGGCGGTGGGGGTGCCTGGAGGGCCTGCGGTGGGAGCCGCAGTCTCCAGAAGAGGAGCTGGGTGCTGCCCTGGCAGCTCCCCGTTCTCGCTGGTGGCCTGGGTGAGCTCCTTCCCTTGCAGCCCGCTCTAACGTGCGGCTTGTCCCCGTCCCCAGTGGGTTCCCTGCTCTCCAGCTACGGCTGGTACATCCTCTTGGCCTGTGTCGCCATCTATCTCCTCATCCAGAAGGTATCCCAAAGCATGGCAGTCCGGCGGAGCAGCCAGCCAGCAGCAGCTGATGCAGCTGTCGGTTAGTAAATCTTCGCTTGTCCTTTAGAGCGATATGCAGTGAGTGGTGCTTGTGTGTGGTGGCTGTCACCCTCTAGGTTCCCGCTAGCGCTTCTCAGTTGTGACGCAATGTCCGACAGACGTTCGGATCCACGCGCCCTGGCTTTTATTTAACGACAACGAAGAAAGGTTCTTTTTTTCTGGGGATCTGGTCTGTGAGCGTTACTCAGGATGACTGCTTAGGCCCATGAACGCGTACAGATCTTGTTACTGGAGAGATTGGTGGGAAAAGGTTTGACCAAGAGAGAAGTATTTTTAAAAGGCAATATCAAAGAGGGATTGTGTCATGAGGCGATGCGGTCTGAAGAGAAGGACCAGAGCTTTGCAGAATGAGGGAATAGTTTTTGACAGCGCGGGAGTTCAGAGCGCCGCACTCTTCACATGGTATGTGGTCAGTTATCAAGTAATTTTCAAAATTATCAAAGAAAAATGAAACACCCAAGTCTAAATACTGAAAAAACCTTGAAAGATTTTTGATTAATATTCATTTCCTCTTTCCTTTCAATTATTCCTTCATAGTTCCTGCTGTATCAGGTTTATGTACAGCTGGGGTGTAGCTGCCTCTTGTTATCTTCTAAACTGTGGCTTAGGTTGCAAATCTCACACAGTCATGATCCTACTTTTTTTTGGAGACATGCTGCCATAAAGCACAGGCTATACTTGTGGATCTGCTTGAAGAATAACTGCTTGGCACTGATTCATGTGGCATGCTGGCATGGCAGTACACAGGGCCTCAGAAAATGTCTTTATCCTGCTGATGCTCTTTTGTAATGATAATTAAATCTTGATTTAGTTGCCAAAACTGCCTATAAAAACGCAGCAAAAACCATTACTGCTGAAATTTCTTTCAGATATTGATCACTGGAAGAGAATAAACATGTAAGGAGTCAAACAAATATAGAAACACTGCAGCTATTGGAAAAGGAGCAATATTTGCCTTTGCTTGGATGTCTTTTTTTTTTGTGACTTTTACTAAAGGCCTAACATGAAGCGAATTGGATAGATTTTCAGAGACTGTAAGTTTTCTCTTGAGATGGTTTGATATTTTTAAGTCATTTCTCTGCTGATGGAGCATATTAAATCTGCCACTGCTTCACTGCTGTGATGAAACAAGCAGGAACAATCACCAGAAGGAGTAAGAGTGAATGTGGGCTGGTTTCCTCATGCTTCTGAGTAAAACAAGTTCTCTAGGTAGAAATGGAATCCCTGCAAAAGCACGGGTGGTATTTCCAAAATGATATTTGGAAAACCTTCAAAAATAGAAAAAGAAGCAAGTCTCCTAGAAGTTCGAATTTTAATTTGTTGATAGGTTCATTACATGGGTGCCTTTACTCATTAAAAGCCCACTAAAAATAATTGCTCTGAAAATACTAACGTTTGATTACATTTAAACCACTATGTGAATTACTGTAAAAGTTTAGTTGCAAGTTGTACTTCAACTGTGATTTTTTGCAAAGCAGCTATAAAGAGAGATGTTAGGCTTTCTGTAGTACCATGCATTAAGGACACTGTTTAGAATTCATTTTTAATGATGGCCTTGTGAATTCTTTCACAATTTCTCAGAACCAGACGTGGTGGTAAAAAGGCAGGAAGCTTTGGCAGCAGCTCGCCTCAGGATGCAAGAAGAGTTGAATGCACAAGCAGAAAGATACAAAGAAAAGCAGAGACAGGTAATCAGAGAGCATTTCTGTCTTTAACTCTTAAATTTGTCATCAAGCACTCTGCTGCTCTTACAGAAAGGTTTATTCTATGCTAGATATTGGAAAAACAGGAGACTCCCTCTCTGCTGGATAGTGGATGGTGGGTTTTTCCCCCTCCTTCACCTGGTCTATTTTTGATACAATTTGGTAGCAGTAACTGGCATTAGATATCAGGGTGGGCCTTAACTGATCCGACCACGTACTCATATACTCTGTTGACTTGAGATCACGACGGTCTTTATTAGTTATAATGATTGGTATATTTAGTATTCTGCTCCTTCTTGAAGTAATTGGCACTTGTTTGTCTGCAAACAGTTGTGTGTGTGGAGCACTGTGGGCCTTTGTTTTTTTGTTGTTGTTCGGTTGGGTTTTTTTAGCAGGCAAGTCAGCGCTTAGGAAAACTTAGTTGTGTGTGATGTGTGCAGGCAAATGACTAGAAGGGATTTACTGACATTTAGATTAACTGTACTATCGCATAGATGTATTTTCTGTTCTAAATGGCAAATAATAGTTCTTAAGAAATGTGGTTTAGTACAACATTGCTGTAATTTGAAGTTCTGAACTACAGTTTGCGATATGAGGCATATCAAACTGCTACGTGGGGCAGCGTAGAAAAGTGGATGGGATCAGGTTAGAGATAACACTGCTCGCTAATCCCAGTTCTTTTTATTTGACTTTTGCAGTCAGCTACGTTCAGCCTTAAGTCTATAGCCGATACTTCAAGAAGTATCAGCAGTTAAAGCTTAATGGAAAGTCATTCTGAGGAAGAGAACAGCTGTTATGGAGCAAACCTGAGTCCAGTGCCCTTAGACTTGGGGAGCTTTGCTTTCTTTGACTGGACGGAGTTGCTACCTTCTTTCCGTGCTAGATAGCAGAGGAAGAGGAGACTTGCTGAATAGCTTCTTTCTTTCCTGTTGAGAGGAGGATGGTCTGTCTTAATCATTAATTTTTTCTGTTCTGTGATTAAATTGCTTTGGGGCAGAGATGGGAGAGCCTTCGATAACGTACGCTGGGATGCAAATATGTAGCTGGCTTGCTTGCTGTTAATTTGGGGGAGGGTAATTTTTTCTTCTGTAGAACGCTCCATTGTGCATTAAATGACCGTTATATGCAATATCCTTTACTTAATACTTTCTATAAACTCGTGGTTTATGCTTGCCACTTAGTTTGATTTTACTTTCAAAATATTTTTAAGCACCAGGTGGTCAAAAGAGGCTACAGGCACAATGTTTTGTTGTTGTTGTTTTGTTTTTTGGGAGAGTTTTCTTGATCTGTAGATGGTTGGATAAAGCGAGCGTTAGTTTGAAAAATAAATGCTTTCATAAGCTCAGAGATATTGCATCAAGATAAAGATAGAGAGAGCCCTTGGTTTTTAGTGCCTCTGTTGCAGCTATTTCCGTAGCACAGGCAAATCTATTAGTTCTAAATTCTTAATCTGGCATATCGTGGATTTGTTTCTTAGCTTGAAGAAGAGAAACGAAGGCAGAAGATAGCAATGTGGGAAAGTATGCAAGAGGGAAAAAGCTACAAAGGAAACCTGAAACTGAACCAGGTAACATCTGTGTTGTTAATCAGGCTACAAGGATGTTTATGTAATTAGATTAGCCGAAATTCGTGTTGATTGAATTCTGACTAACTTTTGCTTATGTGAACAGCAAGAATTAGAATCTGGTGCCTCCACCTCTTCGACAGTCTCAAAACCTAAACCAAACAAAAAGCCTTTGCGGAGTGGTGGTAAGTATGAAATCCTTTAGATAATCTCAGCCTGGAAATGGAGCATTTATCCAGCAGTGTACTTAGCCATTGTATATTTACGCATAATTTTTCTGCTTACTCAAGGAGAAAACAGAATGTGCCTTACGAGCAAGCTCTTTATCTCTAACTGATGTGGTCACATTTGTACTTTGTGCAGACCTTAGCAGGAAGTTTCTATGGTTGCCCCAGAGAAAGAGCATTTCAATCGTCTTAAAAATGCTTTTGCTATGGTTTTAATGAGATTTCGGTGACTCGAAAATATAGGTTCTTACAATTTTTTCTGGGATCCCTCCCCCATTGTTGTAAAAGCTCAATAACTTAGTATCTAATCTGTCTTTAAATCATCTGTAGTACTACTTAAATGCAAGAGGAAGGTGTTCTACTTTATATTATGTAGATTCAAGCAAATGAAACACTTCATCAGGCAAAGCGTAACCTTATTTCTCAGCTATCACAATAGTGACCTAGGGAATTTACAAAACCAGCAGATGAATGAACTGCTATCACCACACAGTCTTTTCATTAAATGCTCTGTCAATCACTGAAGTCATCTTGATGGATGAACTGCTTTCTGTGGCCTTGCTTACCCCAAGTTTAGGACCACTGCTGTAGATAAGCTATGCAGCTGATATCCTTTCTCTTCTCTTGAGCAAACAGCCTTTGCTGTACCTGCAAATGTTAATTTGAATACAGTATTTTAGCTGGAATTTTCTGTAGTGGGAGGGGTCATCTAGACAATCCCAGTCATGCCAGTCTGAAGGGAGAGCCACTGCAGCGCTGAGTAAGTTACACGATTACACTTGGTGAAATGTATTAAACCTCAGGATTCTTCGTAAAACATATTAAGCCTGAATAACAACAGTTCGGTGCTGGAAGTTCTGCTTTGAGTATTTTCACCAACAGCTGTTGATATCTGCAGGAACTGATTAATTCATCATGTTGTTTAACATGAGCATGGTTTAATGTCTGATACCATCAAATATCTTTTATAGCTCTTAAACAAGAGAAAGAGAAATACAAGGATCCTGGCAGCTGGTTTGAAGCATCTTTACAGCTGCTACCTGCCCTAGTTTCATCTTAAGCAAAGATTTTGCTTAAGTAGCAGATTATGGATTTAGAGGTCTCTGATCTTCTCATGAGGTAGATAAGGAGGAAGTGAAAGAACCATCTGCACTGTTCAACTGCTGGAAAATGTTAGAAAGCAGAACTTGGCTAATATGAGAGAACCAAATAAACAAAGATGAAGGTAATGCTTGAGGTTTTAGTGGAACAGGCTGCTTTAAAAACTGCTTGGTTAGCAAGGCTAGTGGGCTTTCAATTTTCTTTTCCTTTGCACTGCACAGAACAGATTGAAGACTTTGCCAAGTCATATCTTTCCAAGTGTGTGCTCATAAAATGAAACTGCATATGGTTATGACACTGGGAGATTCAACTGAAACTGTCTGTTTGCTTTGCAGTTCTCTTACAGTATAAATGAGCGGGTCCACCTTTTAACCTTTAGAATATTCCTTGCATACTAGTGATTTACTGCAATTAAAAAATTTTGCAAGTCCCTAACCATTAGGGCTCCTGGAAAACAGATAGACTCTTACTGCTCTACCACAACTACAGAGCAGCGTTAAAGCTCGAATGCAGACTAAGAGAAATTAAACCAAAATTCATTACAATGTAATTTAATCAGAGTGAGTCAAATGAAAACATGAATGTTTTGCAATGATTTTACTGTTAGCACTATATAAGAAACCACATCAAGCCTGGATATTTTCTCTGCTTTCATTTTCCTTAAAATGCTACCTGTATAGTAAGTTGCAAATAATTACGAACCTTTTTTTTAGTGTTCCTTGTGTGTTGGTGAATTTGTGTTGAGGATAAGGATTAATGTGATGGATTTCTCATCTGTAATTCTAGGCTATAACCCTCTGTCCGGAGAAGGAGGTGGAACTTGTTCCTGGAGACCAGGTCGCAGAGGCCCATCAGCAGGTGGATGAGGCTAACCTCCCTAGTGTCTAATATCACTAGCAGGCTTAATCTTACCCACTGTCTAACTGCCTACAGTTTGCATGTCACAGTGACTCCTTTGGGATTTGGTTTAGTGCGGGTGTTGGCTTGAAAACAGATGTACATGAGTTCCAGGTATTAACACAGCAACTGATACTGCACAAGAAAAATACTCGATCCCCTTTAAAAAGCTGGTGAAGAAAGGGAACATAATCTGCAGCTGAGGTGCATCACTTGGGATTGTGAGATCTGGGTTTTGTGGCTGGCTATTCAAAAGACTGACCTCAGGCAAATTAACTATCTGTGTCTCAATTTACCTCTGTAAAATGAGGGTATTTACCATCCCCAAATATGTTCTGAGGCTTACAATATTTGGCTGGAAGGTGCTTTAGAGGGGTAGGATATCGTCATTGGCAGACAGCTTGAATTTTAGGAGGAGGGACTTTCAGAGAACCTGGATGAACTGACGGATGCCACGGGTTAGCACTGAACGCCAGTTATTGTAGATGAGTCTCTGTGACAAGCTACCTTGAATGATGTTTTCCTTATAAATGGTAAGCAAACCAGTGAGGATTACTGATGCTAGACAGCAGATGGGGGTTTCTTGCTATTCCTTTTTTAGTTTCAACTGCTTTGTAAAAACAAAAAACTGTTAATATTAAATATCATTGCAAACAAATCATATAGTATTTACAATCTTGTGGTTTTCTACAGGCATCTTTTTATATAGAAGGCATATGCTCTAGTGCAATAAATGTGTATAAAATGAGGTGGATTGTATGACAGATTACATTTTCATTTAAGTACTTGCATAGAATGAAGGGGATTTTTTAAGCTGTTCTTTTAGCTTTTTAACAGTTTTGTTTTATTTGAATGTTCTGTGTTTGAAATCGTGTTTTTAAGACCAAATTAAGTTTTCCCAAGTCTAAAAATTGAACCTGAACGTTCTCCACCCTCTCCCCAACCACCAACCACCAGAAGTGATTCTGAAATGGAGTAGAACGGATTACGAGTTGCTAAGCTCTCCAGTTGTACCTGTGGTTGAATCTAAAGTAAGAAAACATGTAACGAAGGCTTTTGCTCTCAGTAGAGCAGAGGGATTCTTTCCAAATTGCTATCTGCAAATATAGTTTGAGGAGGAGGATATACATAGGCGTGGTTAACATGAACACTGTAAGATGTTCATAGAGAAAAGAGACGCCGCAACTCGCACTGAGGTGTGTGCATGGTGTCTTCTCTTTCTGGGCAGCAGGATTGTGCATCGCTTTAGGCATGTGGTATGGGGGATGCACCTAGGGACCGCTAGGACAGAGAATTTACTGTGTACTGCTTTCTGTTGTAAACACATCTCAGGATGTGAATTGATAGCCTGGCCGTGGAGCTGTCCTGAATAGCCCAGCTGGGTGCTGAGGTGTGTTCTCGCCCTGCTGTCAGCTTATGCAGTGCAAAAGCTGAGGATTGTTTCTGCTGAGAAGAGCCTGTAACTAGCAAGCACGTAAAATTTGTAGGTGGGAGACTCTAAGGAGTAAGTAGCTAAAGAGAGTGTAGTCTTCATCCTTCTGGGATTTGTCCAGCAATGTGGATGGAAAACGGAGTTGGACATGATCATCACAAATCAGCTTTCCCGTTCTCTTGATACTCTCTGACACAAAGTGCAAAAGTTAACTAAACAAACATTCAGGCTGTCCTTGATAAAGAGCGAAATAGTTCCCGTCAACATACGACGTGTATCCGTGTGTCTTTGATTACTTTTGTTGAACTTGTATATGTGGCATTAAAGTATGTCAGTATTTTATTAGCGTAGCTTAAAGCTGCTTGAAAACTTATTTCTAAATAGTTATACTCGGAATATTTGTGTTCATTAATGTACGTGAGTGCCAACTTTGAATACACCGTTTAAACATATATAGAGATGGCTCTATATGTCATGTGATCTGTGATTTTTCTATTGACTATAAATGTAACAGTAGCATGTTACTTAATGAGTTTAAAAGTTGCCAGCTAACAAGGTGGAAAAGTGAAGAACCTTTGACTGTAGACCTCTGAAGTGTATGTTTAAATGCATATAGAAAATGAAGTGAGAGGGCTATTAATGTTCCTATGGAAACTAGTTTTCATTTCTTGACTTCTGTGCATTTTGATATGTAAACTTAAATGTCCATTGTTGGATTTATATAACGCAGACTGCAGTATGTAATTTCAGGTTTTAATTCTTAGTAAGGCAAAAAAAAATAGAAGAGGGGAAAGATTTTCAAGATCTGAAGAGTCTTCATCAGTAAAGAGGTGTAAGTTGCTATCTTACTCATGCCTCTGGGAAACATTTTTATTTATGCTGGGGAAATAGGCAACAGAACAAAAAGTAAGTGGGGGATGTTGTTATATTGAAGATGCAAAACTCCTTCTGTAGACAAAATGGTGAAGACGGGTTGATTTCATTCAGTAAAAACATTTTAAGAAATAAATAAGCAGGTCTGTACTGAGCATATGCTAATCTTTCTCTGTGTCTGAAGACTTGCTTCTGGCTGGGCCTGGGAGGTACGGATTTTTGCCCCACTCAAAGATCTGAAGACCTGTTAAATGAGGATGAAGTAATTCACTTATTTGCTTGAAACTTCAAGCTCCCTTCTCCCTTAACTTTTTTTTTTTATTATTATTATTAATCCTTGGGTCCCTAAATCCTGTCAGATACTGGAATTTTTCTTGATCAGACCCTTCTAAGCTATTGAATGAGGTGTAAGAACCTCATTTTGTAAAACATCTCTTGGCTCACTAACTGCACAAACAGATGACTCTGACTTCAAATAGAAGGTTTTTCCCTTGCCCACAAACAAGTATGGAAAGGTAATTGCTAGTTGCTTTATAGCTTGGGGGGGGCGGGGGGAAGTATTCACAAGGCAGTAGGTGAAAAGGAACTAATGAATCCATTGTTCGTGCTTGGGAATGAATTCCCAAGAACTTGCATTACAGCAAATCATATTATAAAGCCTTCGGCAGATATTTTTGCTTACAGCAGTTAAGCCAGGAGCTTCTAACTTTACTGAGGTAGACACACTAGGAATGTCTTTATCTGGAACAATTTAGATAGCAAACTTATAACTAACACAATACTACTAAGCTAATAAGTATAATGATACTTGGCCACTGAACAGTAACCTGTCTTGATGTTGAAAAATCTGAAATTGAGCAACTGTTCAGAGGCACAAAAAATCCTGAGAATGTTAGTCACCCGAAAAAAATGTAGTTTTTTTTATTGTTTTTCAGATGACCTATTTGTTGGAGAAACAGTTTTTCACTACTTAAATTGCACATGAGGTCTAGATTATGCATAGTTCTATTAAATATTCACCAAGAAATATCTAGTACTGGAATTAAAAATGAACAAAAAACGTGTTGTCACTTGTGAGATTTATTTGGCTTTACCTGTGCCTTTCAGAAAGATAATGTCATGAGGAAAGGCTTTTCAGAGTGATTGCCTTGCATATTTAGTTATTTTTTAAAAATGTTTCTGACATAATTAATAATGAACAACAGAAGATGGACTTGGGGGAGTGAGTGCAAGTGGGGACTCTGTTAGCAGAGCTGTTCCCAGCCTAGAATTACCTGTGTGTTATTCAAAGTTCATGTGAAGGAAAATGATGATTTTACACAATCCCACAAGGAGTTGCTCTCCTAGCAGAGACTGAATGCAGCTGTGAAATGATAGTACTAATAAATACCTTATACTATTTTGACTCTAAAACTGTCACGGAGTTAAGGCTATGCTGCTGCTGCTGCTCAATCGGGTTTCATCCTTAGCTTGTGTTTGCTGGTACTCGTTCATGTGTTTAGATTGGGCTGTTTTTTCCTGGGTTTTTTTTCTCCCCCTCCCTAGGAAGATGACCAGAGAGAGCGTTCTCGTTCAGCGAGCCCTCTGAAAGGGAGGGTGGCAGCCCCTGTGACACTCTCCCGTGTGTTGGCCCAGCAGTGATATGGTTAACGACTGCATTGAAACCATCTCAAACTGTAGTTTCTGCTTCCTGCAGTCAACGAGGCAGTTCCCATCTCTGGCCGTTGTGTTTTTTCAGGCTTGGCTGCACGTCAGCACGCATCTCTACATCGGATCAGATCCACCCTTTTGAAGATTGTTGGCCTTGTCCAGGCTGAGAAGTGGCATCTTTTCAGGGATCAGTTTAGCCAAGAGAGTTGGGCACAGTGTGTCTCTGTCCGTGCTACTGGGCTCAACTCTGCTATCACTGAACACTGAAATCGTATTGTTTTCAACTATACAAAAAGCCAATGTAGACTTAGATGGGTTGCAGACTTCTCTCTCTCTCTCTCTCTCTCTCTCTCTCTCTCTCTCTCTCTCTCTCTCTCTCTCCTTTTTGGAATGAAAGCTTAGCTTTTGGAACAGCTCTGCAACCACAAAGGAAAAGCATAGTGCTGCTGGCTGGGTGGTGTCCTGGCCGGGTTGCACCATTGTAGCTGATTTTGTGCGAGCTTCCAGCCCAGCTGTTCCAAGGCTGACACACACCCTGCCTGTATTCCCAGCTCCAATGCCAGCAGCTCTTCAAAAACATTCATGAGTTTTTTATGAAGCAACCAGTGACTGAAACGGAATAGGTCTCCTCAGCTCAATTTTAGTGGAGACCCACATGAGGATATAAGCATTTATTGCAGATTGCTGTTGTGATGGGCTGGCAGGGATGCAGTCTCTCTTCTGATGCATCTTTTTTTCTATGGTCATTTTTATTTTGAAATGCATGTCTGCTAAAAGACACTTTCGGTACAGAGGAAGATCTCCACTGATAATTTAATGATTTTGTTCCTTTTACTAATCAAGATGCTTTCTGTGCGCTGCTTTCCAAGCTCAGCTTAAAAGCTGCACCGTGGATGGCAAGGAGAACTTAATTCCCTTTAAAGGAAAGGGAAGGAAAATGGTAACATGGCCGTTCAGTCTAGTTCTAGTGCTCTGTTGCACGCATTCAAATTGGGGGCTACCGTTAGGTTGGCCTACGGGAAGCACTTTTAAAATAAACCAAACCCTAGATCTTAAGCACTTCTTGACCTACTACTAATGTGCTCCCAGAAACTTGGCTTAGCACTTCTAAGTAGTTGCCACTTCTTCGGCTCTTCTGCTGCTTAGGTATATTACATCTTGACCCTTGCTTTTAATGTACACGTTCTAGACTTTTTCAACAGTTCGTTGACTCCATGCTGGG